CATGATCAATGCAAAAATTCAGATTATTGCACTATCAAGGCACATCTTGCGATTTACTTTCTCTCACAAGTCTCCTGGGCAAGGGATGTGAGGAATCCTTAAGTTTGATTCAAATTTATTTGGGAGAATCGTATTTAAATATACAATAATTAGAATGAATTTTAATCAAAGTAATATATCCATTTGGTAATAAATACTAATTGTAATCATTATTCAAGTTGTTTGTAATGATTCATGGATATATAGTAATATAAAAATAAGAATTGTTTTTTCTTATACAATATTTTCTTTTGAAATCACACTATTGTCAGATTCTATTTGGGGAGAATTCTCCCAGTAAAATTCAATATCTATTGTTGGAAATTTTTAACAAAAATTATATTTTAAATGGTTATTTTGTGGTACAAATATATGTGAGCCCATTTTTTGTTTAGGTAGGGTTAAAATCAATTCAGATTCTTTGAAGTAAGACAAAGAAATTAATATTATAAACTTAAAACGGATAATGAGTTAATGAGAAATTGATTTTCAAAATAGATCCATTTGAGTTGGAAAATAGAGATGAGAATGCTTGGAAGTAGTCTTTGGAGTGTTTGATAAATATTTGTTAGTTGATTGGGTTAGTTAGTTTGACTAGTTGATAACATTAGCAGATTGTAAAAAGATGTTTGATAACTTAGTTGTTAGCTGATAGCTGATTACATATAAAATGACTTTCTCAAAAAGTTTATCGAAAAAAACTGCTTTGAGCAACTTTTTGAATTTTAACATTTTGGAGCAATAAGCTGTTACAAAAAGCTTATTAATCAAACACTTATATTGGTTGTTTAATCAAGTCAAACAGCTAATAGTGGTCAAATAAGTTAAAATTAGCCGATAAGCTAACTATGTTACTAAACAAGGTCTTTAATTGGTAAAGTTCAAAATTAAATCTTCAAAAAAAATATTCTACAATAAAAAAGTATATCTTGTAAATTCAGCCTTATTTAGCTTAGTCTTTCGGGATGATATTAACACAATCGGAAAAACAAGAACAGTACTGAGAATAGAGAGGGAAAAGTAAAGGGAAGAGATAGACTAGAAATACAGGAATTGTCACTTTTATTAATAACTGACAAATATATATACATACAATATGGGAAAACTGAATACCGGCTAGAAAATAAGATAATGGTCATATATCAGGTAAATCATGTGCTGCACTAGTTGCTTTATTAAAAACGTTAGTCTAATAAAACTCAGTGAGAAAAGAACTTAACAAAGGGGAAAAAAAAAAAGTAAAATCATAGGCCTTTAGGACATAATCTTTAGAATTTTCAGGATCTGTTTATTCAAGTGTGTCTAAACGTTGTCGCTCCCCCCCCCCCCCCCGGCCCCCCTTTCCCCCCTTGAAGACAACAACCTTCCAAGCCTATGCATCCTAACTTTATGAACATATTTGTCAAAAATAGATGTGGGCATGTACTTAGTAAACGAATCAGTGAGAATGTCACTAGAGCGAAAATTCTATATAATAAAATTAAATTAATTTAATGAGCATTAATAGAAATTAATTTTAAAAAACTGATTGGAATTAACGCATTTCAAAATAGTACACCTCAAAAGTTCATGACCGAAAAATCTATACTTTTCGGTAAAACACCGAATAGTACAGTGAAACAAAACACTAGAATGTGCATGAACAAAGCACCATAATAAGCCTACAATTCAGTGAGGAGATTAGTCACTGTATTTGATTGTGGAAACCCTAGGTATACCTAAAAAAACAAAGCACCATAAAGTGCTTATGCACTATACAGCTATACTAAACCTTAAACACCACCGTAAGGTGGTTAATCATGAACATCATTTAGTTTCTTTGTTTTTCAATCTCAAATGGTTTACTTTGAGAATCAAATTCTCATTTGTGAAACACAAACTTATTATTGTCATAATATAGGACATTGGGAGTAATTCACAACATAACACTTTGGAATATAGCAATACAGGGATCGAACAAATAGTAGTATCCAAATAACCCACCAAACCATATGTAGGAATGATCCCACATTGGGGTTCGATCATGTGCCCATTTAAAATGATAATAGAAGTGTCATCACAGTACATAATAGTTGATCTGCATAATTCATTTTAAAATATTAAAGACATGTTTCTTTATTTAAATAAAATTAAAGAAAAATTTAAGCTATATTGACATGACATCCATGTATTAAAAAAATCATAATTTTTTGAGTCAAACCATACGCGTGAGGAGTAAAGAAAAAAAAAAGTAGTATTATTGAGGTATGTATAAAATAAAAGGTTGGCAAAGTGTAAATAGGTATGAGCAAGTTGCAGGAGGTTGATGGGGACTTGATTGTTGTTGAAGTTAATGAGAGTCTCGTGGAGGGCGTGAAAAGGGTGAAACCATTGAAAACGATTTGTGTCTCGCACCTTAAAAGTCCGGTCCAGGTTCAAAGTCTACAACACCAAGTGGATGATGGGTATCCCTTTTAACTCTTTCTCCCATTTCCACCCACTTGCCCCACTTGCATATTTCACGTTTTTTAAGGCTTGTATATTGGAATACATACATAATAAATAGATTAAATACCATATGTCCATATGAATACGTATATGCAGACAGTATTTGAAAGAAAAAATCAATATTCAAATTTTGACGGTGACAGTGTGGAAATTATGCTCAAAGTGAATAGATTCATTGTGCACACCACAATTTGGTCCTGTTTCTTGAGTCATTGAGTCACTGTGATTTACATATTCCCAAATGCTCTGTCGAGGCGGGGTATGAAGGACCCTTAGGGTTGGGGATTCAACCTTTTAGGGGAAGAATATGTATATGTATAATAAAATCTCATAATTTGTTCTGATGATGAAAGAAATTTGTAACTATTACCTGAGTGTGCGCATTGGATAAATCTCAATTCCGTTTGATGACCCTAGCTGGCGAAAGAACACAAGGAGATAAACCAGCATAAGTTACCTATAGCAGATAGACTCACTACTGGAAATTATAGAATTTCCGATCACTTGAAAGTAATTTTAAATCAAGTCGAAAGCAAAAAGTGGTCGAAAATAGCAACAAAGGTTTTTCGGATACCAAAAGTGGTCGGAACAAGGCTTTCGACTTGATTTAAGATCATTTTCAGGTGGTCGGAAATTTCATAATTTCCAGTAGTGACTCAAGCCAAAGTCAATAGGTCATTTCTGATTGGATTCGAACTTGTAACCTTGTGGAAGTCAATAGTCTGACAAACTTAGGGTCCGTTTGGAAAGCAGGAAAATGACTTCTGGAAAATGTTTTCTGGAAAATGAGTCATTTTCCGGAAAACATTTTCCTTTCCAGTGTTTGGTTGCATTCTGGAAAACTGTTTCTGTGTGTTTGGTTCATTTTCTGGAAAATGAGTAGAATTGTATAATTAAACATTTTAATTATTTTATTTAGAATATTACAACATGTATAATAATATATAATATTATAATAATATAATAATAATTTTAAATATAATAAAAAATAACTAATAATATATCAAAAATATTATGGTGGTGGTGGTGGTGTAGTGGTAGTGGTGTTAGTCGTTATATAATAATAATAATAATAATAATAATAATAATAATAATAATAATAATAATAATAATAATAATTGGTGGTATGACGGTGGTGGCAGTGGAGGTGGAGGTGGTGGTGGTGGTGTAGTGGCGGTGATTGCGGTGGTATGGTGGTAGTGGTGGTGGCGGCGACGGTGGTGGTGGTGGCGGCGGTGGTTGCGGTGGTATGGTCGTGGTGGCGGCGGCGGTGGTGGTGTGATGGTGGTGGTGTGGCGGTGGTGGCGGTGGTATGGTGGTGGTGGCGACGGCAGTGGTATGGTGGTGGTGGTGGCGGCGACGACGATAGTGGTGGTGGTGGTGGCGACGACGGTGGTTGCGGTGGTATGGTGGTGGTGGTTGCGGCGGCGACGGTGGTGGTGGTGTGGTGGTGGTGGTGTGGTGGTGGTGATGACAGCGACGATGATTGCGATGGTATGGTGTTAATGGTGTTGGTGGTGGTAGTGGTTGCGGTGGTATGGTGTTGGTGGTGATAGTGGTGGTGGTGTGATGGTGGTGGTGTGGTGGCGGTGGTATGGTGGTGGTGGTGGCGGTGACGATGGTTGCGGTGGTATGGTGGTGGTGGTGGTGGTGGTGGTATGGTGTTAATGGTGGTAGTGGTTGCAGTGGCATGGTGTTGGTGGTGGTAGTGGTGGTGGTGTGATGGTGGTGGTGTGGTGGCGGTGGTTGCGATGGTATAGTGGTGGTGGCGGTGGCGACAGTAGTGGTGGTGATGGTGGTAGTGAGGTGGTGGTGGTATGGTGTTGATGATGTTGGTGGTGGTGTGATGTTGGTGTAAAAGTTGGAAAATGACTTCCCCAAAAAAAAGGGGAAGTCATTTTCCTCCAAAACAAGCCTATTTTCCAAAGTCAACGGAAAATGATTTCCGTTGACTTGATTTTCCAGGCACATCCAAACAGTGGAAACTTGGAAAATGATTTCCAGAACTCATTTTCCAGGTTTCCAAACACACCCTTAATTGAATTTTCGTAATTTTTCATTTATAATACCCCTCCAGCCCATTTTATTTATCTGGTTCAATTGCAATTTAATTTGACATAATGTTTAGTTTATTATTTGTATATAAAATGCAAATTGTTATTACATTAAATATATTATTAAACACAAACAGTTTAATTTAATAATTACAAAATATGCAAGAAAGAAAGTACTCCGTATTTATTTGACAAATAAACATAACATGTAAAAGGAGATGGGAATAATATTTTTGGTACTAATAAATCAAGAAAAGTGGGTGGAGGGACTAGGGAGAGTATTATCCTCTTATTTATTTATTTATTTATTTTAATTTACTTTTTAAAGCTTATCCACTTGTGTATATTTCTACGTATTTCCGTCTAAAAATACAGTAATAAGTACATAGAAAAAAATAATAATAAAATAAAATAGAGAGCCAAGAGATGTGGATGATACAGAAAGCAACTGAATCATTTTGGACCATTCAGCCATTGGAGCTTCCTTCTCTTCCAATGTCTTTTTGACTTTTGATTCGCTCAATCCTCTCGCCGCTGCAAGAGAGTTACTATAACCTCCGCAATACTGTCGGCGGATGACGGCCGGCATGATGAACGGCGATAGAAGAAGCGACGTAGAGGATGAGTACATTAGGAGGCACCACAAGCACGAGGTGAGGGAGAACCAGTGTAGCTCCTGTCTTGTAAAGCACATCAGAGCTCCAGTTCATCTTGTAAGTCTCCTATGCAACTTTTCTCCTTCCGTCTTTCGATTTCTCTGTTTATTTTTCTATTGAGTTATGCTTAGATCTGCGTTCTCACTGTGATTTTTTGTTGAAGTTTTGTTTCGTTGCGGATTAATGCTCAGTTCATTTTATATCGGTTTGATTTCGGTTCCGCTGTAACGAAGTTACAGTTGCGCCTGAGGAGAATGAATAATTGTGGTTTTTTCTGCAAAATCGTGTTCTGCGTTTTGGTGTAAACCTGAAGATGTATATTCTTTCTTTTTTTTTTTTTTCCTGGAGATGAAAGGAACAAAAGTGTCTTTACTTGTTAATATGTTATTAGTCCTGTTTAGGTTGGTGTAGAGATGTTTGATAGGGACTCCTTTAGTACTGGATGGTTTACAAACTAATAGTTCATGCTTTGAATCAAATGAACATAATTCTAGCCATAAATGTGATTATATACAAGTGATATGATAGATTGAGAACCGAATATGAATGTTCTTGTTTGATCTTATTCAAATTTTTTGTTGTTTGCAGGTTTGGTCATTGGTAAGGAGGTTTGATCAGCCTCAGAGGTACAAACCGTTTGTGAGCAGGTGTATTGTGCAGGGAGACCTTGAAATTGGAAGTGTTAGAGAAGTTAATGTTAAGTCTGGCCTTCCAGCCACCACCAGCAAGGAGAGGCTAGAGCTGCTGGACGACGACGAGCATATACTTAGCATGAGGATTGTTGGTGGAGATCACAGGCTAAGGGTATGAATCTCAAGCTTATCATTGATTGGAATTGTGTGATTTAGCCCTTTTCAAACTTGATAAACCAGAAATCCCTTCCTCAAAAGGATTCTGGTGGAAATGTTTCTTTGTCATTAGGACCATAGGAAGTCAAATTAGAACCTTTGGAGATATGCTTCAATTCTCTGATTTCTTTTCTCCTTTTTTCCTTTCTTTGTTTTCGGCTTTTCAATTTAGAAATACTAGCACCCATTTTTTCTGTTTTTCCTTTCTCCAATCAGCTTTCCATTTCTTCACAGAAATGAAAATTTTCTCCCTTTAGTAATCGCACGTATATCCATTTTCTTCTTTTAGTTCAATTACTTGATACTAGTGGAAGTTGTGTATTCCGTGTTGCATTTGCCTGAACACTTTGGCCTTGTAGGCTGTGGCTGTTCTTTGAAATGGCAGTGTGGTTGGCTTAGATGCAGGGCTGGTAAAGGTACTGAGTTGTGATAGAGTAATCTTCTTTGTCATTCGGGAATTTGATCTGCTATTTTCTTTTTGTACATCTTGCTCGCCCACAAGGATTACTGTAGAATTTCACATGTTGTTCTTAAGTTTTCATCTAGAGTCCCAACTTCTAACTCTTTCTCATCCCGCATTTAAAAACATGCAGAACTACACATCAATCGTGACTGTACACCCAGAGATCATTGATGGCAGGCCTGGAACATTGGTGATAGAATCATTTGTGGTGGACATCCCAGACGGGAACACCAAGGATGAAACATGCTACTTCGTGGAGGCGCTGATTAAGTGCAACCTCAAGTCATTGGCTGATGTCTCAGAGCGATTGGCAGTACAGGGCCGCACAGAGCCTATCGACAGAGTGTAGAGAGTAAGTACAGCAGCAGCGGTGTGGATTTGCGGCTTTGGGGGTTTAAATTATGGTTGGTTGGTAGAGCGTACATGGTTTTTGATTATTGGGTAGTATTTGGCCAGTCTCCTATCTTGAAATGTTATATAGTCATGCAGCTTCATTGTAATCAATCGTAAAGATCACCCTGGTTTGTTGCATATGCTCTTTGTTTATTACCTTTTTTCTTTTGCCTCTTCCAATATTTCCATAAATGAAGATATCATCTTTTGTTGCCTGTATGAATGTATGGACTTGGATTGTAAATATTTATGCTTGTAATTTGTGTCTTCTTAATTGCTAAATTGATATGGAACAATAGAACTCTTTATATTCATTTATTATTGTCTATTTTTTTTTTGAAAACATTTATTATTGTCTATAAATGAATTGATTCTTTTAAAAAAATCAGTTTAACAATAAAATAAAATAAAAAACAAATCAAGTAAAGTCACATTATGAGTGAATATTAAAAATGGTTCAAGGTCACATTGAACGTTTTGCATTAGCAGCAGGGTGGGGGCTGGGGGCTATTGATCTGATGAAGACCTTTTATGTGCAAAATGTACAAGGAAGGGTGGACACTAGGTACTGATAGGGTGATTCGCGGTTTATTTTCTCCAACTGTCTTGGGCAGGCATTTTGGAGGCTTAGAATTGAAAACATCGGGGGTTATTTAGAGACCAAAAGCCCAAAAATTAATTAGAGGTGATGAATGACAAATTATGCTGTGGAACTGTGTCCACCTTGTAAGGTGGACACGATTTTAAAACTGTTCATAATTATGAATATATAGTTAAAAAATTATGAATATATAGTTCTATAATTATGAACATAGAGTTGTAAACATAATTATGAACATATAGTTTTGTAATTATGAATATAGAGATTCAATAATTGTAAATATGAAGTTCAAAAATTATGAATATATAGCTTTGCCATTACGAACATATAGTTCAGTAAATATGAACATAGAGTTTTGTAATTGTGAATATAAAATTCAATAATTATAAATATGAAGTTCAAAAATTATGAATATATAACTTTATAATTATGAACATATAGTTCGGTAATTATTAACAAAGAACCGTGTCCACCTTGCAAGGTGAACAGGGTTCCACAGCACAACGATTGGTGATAAAGACTTATTATGCACGAAGTGTACAGGTAAGAGTGGACATTGAGAACTGATTGGACGACTTGCGATTTATCTTTTTTGGGGCTTTAAACAAAATTACTTTAGCCTAAGCTGAAAACCAAATGTATCAATTTCTTTCATATCATTATTCTTATTTTTGAAACGGCCCAAGGTCGCTGTTAGGTCGGATTTACACGGGCCTCTTGATCCTCAAATTTAATGAAAGCACTTCAAGAATGGTGAATATCCAATTGTTATGCTATGGACCCAGGTCCAAAACGATGCAGCTTTGTGCGTCTGGAATAACAGTATCGTTAGTGTTACTGTTTACCATTTCCTTAGTTAATGATTTTTTTTTTTTTTTTTTGGGTGAATATAGAGTTCAAAAATTGTGAATATAGAGTTCATAAATTGTTAATATAAATTCAAAATTTCTGTTATACTGTTGATATAATTGTGAATATAGAGTTTAAAAATTGCGAATATAGAGTTTTGTAATTGTGAATATTGAGTTCTGTAATTGTGAATATTGAGTTATGAAATTGTGAATGTAGAGTTCTGTAATTGTGAATATAGAGTTCAAAAATTGTGTTATACTGTTGATTTACTTGATGGCTTCTCAGCGGCAAACTTAGACGAAACCGGAGCCCGGCTGGTTGAAGATCAATTCGACGCATGTTGCAAAGCTGCGGGAACCAGGGCAGGTTGCGGTGGTGTACTTCGGGACTCTCAAGGAGCGTGGGTGCGCGGGTTTTCTCATAATATTGGCTCTTGTTCGTCGGACATGGCGGAGAGATGGGCAGTATATCATGGCCTGAGAATGGCGGTAACATGGGGTGTACAAAAGCTCATCATGGAAAGTGATTCTCTGGACACTATCAAACGCCTAATATGTGCCATCCGAGGAGAGTCGCAGGAGTGTAACATTATCCGACTCTGTGCGCGTATGCGCGGAGGCTTCAATGACATAGAGTTCAGACATGTGGCTAGAAATCAGAATCAGGTTGCTGACCGACTAGCAGCGACCGCCCTCATGCATGGCCTTGGAACCTTGGAGCTCGCGGAGCCACCCCAGATCATTGAAGACGTCATGTGGGAAGACATGGTTGGGGCAAGGCATGAGCATGGATCCTGGATTGGAGCATAATGTGCCACCTTTGTATTTTCTCTCGGGTTAAACCCTCCTCTTTTTCCAAAAAAAAAAAAAAAGAATATTGAGTTATGTAATTGTGAATATAGAGTTGTGCAATTGTGAATATAGAGTTATGTAATTGTGAATATAGAGTTCTTTAATTGTGAATATAGAGTTTAAAAATTATGAATATAGAATGTAATTTTTATTAAAAAAAAAAAATTCAGACGGCGTCGTTTTGAAGCAAAACAACGCAGTTTTGGACCTTGGTTCATAGCATAATTTACCGTGAACATCTTAGTCTTACAAGGCATTTGGTAGGTGTTAAATAATAAATGATTGCAAGAAAAACACTCAACATTATTGCTTTAGAACTTTAGCCTTAAATAGGCCATACAAGAACAGAATATAGCTAAACAAAAGCAAATAAAAAAAACTCCTACAATAAAGGAGAGCCAATACATGTGCTAGTGTAAAACATAAAACTAAGCCAATACATGTGCTAGTGTAAAACATAAAACTAGGACAATTGTATTAATAATCTTACTGACTTAATTTATTCACCATTTCCTCCCTTAAATTGAAGATCTTCAGAAACTTTAATTTAAACAAATTCACACACTCCCAGCAGCTTCCTTATCTTCTTAACTGTAGATGTCTTGAGAGGGTTAGTCATAATGTCCGCAAGGTGGTCTTCACTTTCGCAGTAGAAAAGTTCAATTGTCCCATCTCTTGTGAGATCCCTAAGGAAATGAAATCTCATGTCAATGTGTTTGCTCATCCCATGTAAAACTAGATTTTTTTAAAGTAATTTTTTTTTTTTTTTTGGAATGACCCGTTAATATGGGAAAAGAAAAACTACCAAACTCTAATAGTAAAGGCCCCAAAGGCGTCGGCCTCTAGGAGCGAAGCAACGCTACCCGGAGGGGAGTCAAGAATTGTCGTCCCCTAGTCAGTTGTTTGGCCAATGTTGGCTAGGTGGTCCGCGCACTTATTCCCTTCCCTCAACGTGTGTTGGAAGATGATGTCGTCAAAGTGCTTTGCAAGGAATTTGCAGTCATTAATCAATATCGACGCATTTGTCATGTCCTCGTCCGTGTCACGCATTACAGCAACCACCGATTCAGAATCTAACTCAAAGATCACTCTATTAACCCCCCTTGCTTTTGCCAGCCGGAGACCTTTCCTTAGGCCCCACAGCTCCGCAAAAAAGCTATTAAAAAACCCAATTTTGACCGTAAAGCCAAAGATCCAGTTTCCCGTGGTGGTTCCGCGTCAGCCCTCCTGCACTAGCAAGGCCCAATGCTTTTTTGAAAGCTCCATCTGTATTTATTTTAACCCACCCCTCATTAGACTGGTGCCAGGAGATCCAAGCATTTCTGTCCTTATCGCCCAGATTTTTCCAAGTCATCGTAGCCATGGTAGCTTCTGTTAAGTCCGCCACCTGGTGACTATTACTGCTAAAAGAACAAGGTTTCTGACCAAAGACTCGTCTATTTCGGGCCTTCCAAAGAACCCAACACGTATAAGCGAAAGTTGTTTGCCATAGATTCCATTTCATGCTTAACTTGGATGAGCAGTTAGTCTTCAGCCAGCTCGTCACCCCTTGCGGGATTCCATATCGGAAATAGCTCGGGTGATACGTCCTTCGCCAAATAGCTTTCGCGATGTCGCAATCCATCAGAATGTGCCCAATCGACTCATCGTCCTTGCCACACGCCGAGTAGCCACTGTCGTCCGCCAACCCCCTGTTATGCCTCACAGAATTGGTGAGCAACTTGCCATTCGTTGAAAGCCAAATAAACAATTTGCACTGTTCCAACACCCGCGCCTAGAATAAACTTAAAACCTTCTTGGACAGAAAACATACCAGAGGAGGAACCTGGCCAGTAGAGAACGTCTTGTGCTTGATCGTTGCATGGAATAGGGATGGTTCTGATGGAGTTGACCAAATCGCTCGGCAGGAAATTACTCAACCTATCAAAATCCCAAGAATGTTTAGGCAAGATAAAGTCGCATACCTTTGCATTGGCTACCTCATCGGTGATTTCTATGTCCTCCAGAAAACCAAGCGGTTTATCGGCCACCGACCAGTCAGACAAAAAATTTAGAGTTCTGCCATTGCCCACACGCCATGCAGATCCTAATTCGATGGTGGACCACCATCTTATGATGCTCCTCCAACACCATGAAGATTTCCTCGGATTTGGAGCGGTAAAAAAATTCCCATTTTTAACGTATTTTTCATTCATCACACAAACCCAAAGCTTGTCGTTACAAGTAGTCATCTGCCAGGCGAGTTTGGCCAAGAGAGCCTCATTGAAGTTTGAACACCTGCTCAAACCATCTGCTCACTTTCACACTAGCCATAAGGACATTCCGTCTTCTCCCCAAGCTTCGTATGGCCGAGTTCAGTTCCCGAATCGTACCGATGGAGTCACTTTCGACTATTAACCACCCAACGCCATGAAACACTGCCATGCGAAGCCCTTCAGGCACCGCCCATGCTTCAGCTTCCTCTACCGAGCAAGACCCAATGTTGTGTGAGAAACCTCTGAGCCAATTGCCCCTATTGTCTCGTAGCACGCCTCCACAGCCTGCCCATCTCGTAGGACCCTTACAGCTTCCATCAACATTCAACTTGATCCACCCCGCATCAGGCTTTCCCCAAGCAGTATCCGTGGCTTGTTGTCCTCCTTGTTGTCTCGTAGGCGTCCATCTCTTTCGGAATGCGGCCTTTATCTCCTCGCACTGGATTCGAATCCAATGGTGGCGAAAGGCCAGGTTGGTAGTTTTCCCCTCAAACACTCTCGCGTTACGCCATCTCCAGCACCACCACAGCGTGATCCCAAAAGTTACCTGCCAATCCTCTGGAAAGCCCCCACGAGCTCCTGCCTTCAGATGGGTGGCCAGCCAATTCCCCCAATCTTTCGCTTTGAGCGACTGCACTGTCGCCGGAGGAAGCAACGCCTCCCATAGACCATCAACTGCCATACAATCCCTGAAGATGTGGATTAGTGATTCCGATTTACCTGCACAAATAGAACACGATTGGTCAGCCGTGAAATGTCTTGCGAACCTCTCTACATTTGTCAGCACTTTCCCGTGTTTCACCAGCCAAAGGAAATGAACCATTTTGCTGGGTATTTTAATTACCCAAATGGTTTTCCAATCGTGATCAGCAACAAGCGTATGCTCCGCCTCCATTACTTCATAAGAAGACCAGATGGAGAAGTTCCCGCTCATTTCTTTGCTCCATCCCCAGAAGTCCTCCTCATCGTCATCCTCCAAGACAACGTGTGCATTAATCCTCGCCATCCAGTCGGCACTTAGTGTTCCTTCCAACATTTCCCACTTCCATCCACGTCCATGCTCCCAATAATCAGCCACATTCGCGTAGAGTTCCAGGAGGGGAAGTTGGATGCGGATGTGGTTGAAAAGCCTGTGGTCCGTCACCCAACAATCCATTCGAAACTTCGTCTTTTGGCCATTTTGGACTACCCTGATTATGCCCTGGTCTAGGACAGGAGAGGCCTTAGCAATCCCTTTCCACACATTTGATGATTTGCCCTTAGCAGTTGCAACCTTCCGACGCTCAGTCGAGGTGTATTTACCTTTCAAGACTTGCACCCAGCTGGACTCAAGTTCCATCATCATGCGCCAACCTAGCTTTGCCATGAAGGCCAGGTTAACCTTCTGAAAGTTGCGTAGCCCTAGTCCCCGCATCTCCTTTGGACGCGTCATCATCTCCCACCTGACCAGGCTTGTTGCCTTATTTGCGCCAACTCCACCCCAAATGAATCTCCGGATTGTCTGCTCTAGTTTGTCACAAATACTTTTGGGCAACCACATTGTTTGCATGGTGTAAATAGGCATATCACTGAGGACCGCCTTTGCCATCGTCCTTCTTCCTACCAACGTCAACGACTTCGCCTTCCAACCTTCTAGACGGGCTGTTACTCTCTCGAGGAGGCCAGCGTGTGTCCCTTGCGTAACCCTTCCGTGGACCGAAGGTACACCAAGGTATCAGCTCAAATCCGACGTTGAGGTTATGTTGAGAGCGTTTGAAATTTCCTCTGCCAGGCTAGCATTTGTGTTCTTTGAGAAGAAGACGTGAGATTTGCTAAAGCTAACTTTCTGTCCCGAAACCCTACCAAAAAAAAAAAAAAATTAAGCAACGCAAAATAATGGCAACCTGGTCGGCTGGTCCATGGTGGCTTCAGAAAAAAAAAACACCATGTCGTCAGCAAAGCACAAATGAGAAAGAACTGGACTTGAAGGTGCCAAACGGATCCCTTTCCATGACCACTTAGCGACCTCGGCGGAGATAATCTGGCAAAGTCGTTCAATGCAGAGCACAAAAAGAGTCGGAGACATTGCATCCCCTTAGCGGATTCCTCTCCCTGGTCTAAACTGCTCAGTACTTGACCCGTTCCAAGCTATGGACATGTTGGCCGTACGGACGCATTCCATGATTGCTCGTACCCAACTGTTGGCAAAACTTGCATCAATAAGAGTATCGTTAATAAACTCCGAGGATAAGCGATCGTAAGCTTTTTCTAGGTCGATTTTGATAGGCATAAGACCCGTTTTCCCTTTTTTTTTTTTTGTGCACATGAAGTGAAGGACTTCTTGGAACACGATTACGTTGTCCGTAATCTATCTTCCTGGTACGAACGAACTTTGGAATAGTCCAACGAGCCCTAGGAGAATAAGTTTAAGACGGTTAGTGATGGTTTTAGTTATCACTTTATACGAGACGTTGCACAGGCTTATAGGTCTGAACAGCTTGATAGTCTTCGACATTTGAACCTTAGGAATGACCACAAGAATGGTGTCATTAAGATTGTCAGGAAGTCTACCCGTCTCAAAGACAGTGTTCACTAACTCAAACACGTTGTCACCCACAACGTCCCACATTTGTTGATAGAACGCAAGGTGGAACCCATCCGGCCCCGGTGCCTTCATCGGGTTCATATCAAACACTGCAGCCTTGACTTCATCTTTATCAAGTTTCCTGTTGAAAACCTGCCAGTCCACGGTCCTCAGCTTAGGAAAAAGACCCCTCGGGGCCTCCGTGGCATTCTCGTTTGGTTCCACCCTAAACAAGTTCATGTAAAACTCCTGGACGAGCTGTCGGAGAGGTTTCTCCTCGCTAATCCACTCTCCTATTTCGTCTTTTAAGCCCCGGATTCTGTTTCGCGCCCGGTGAATCAGCGTGGCGGCGTGGTAATACTTGGTATTTCTGTCACCAGATACTATCTAGTCCTCCCGCGACCGCTGGAACCACATAAGTTCCTCCTGATAGAGCACTTCTTTAAGCTCGCCTTGAAGTTTCTTTTCAAGCTTCCACAGGCCCCTATGAAACGAGACCGCCAAATTCCGCTGGATCCCTTCAATTCGGGACAACAGAATATTCTTCATGTTCGTGATGTTGCCAAAAATCTCCTTGTTCCACTTTACCAAGTCCGCCTGTACTCTGCCAATATTAACTTGCCAGCTTGATAATGGGTTCCATGCCCTATTAATTACCCCACTGAAATTGGAGTTGGTAAACCAAGCAGCCTGGAGTTTGAACTGGCCACTTCTGCCCCCTCTGTTCCTTGCCAAAGTATGAAGCAGAAGGGGTGAGTGCCACTTCTGCCCCCGCGGTAGGTGCTTCACGTGGGCCTCAGGAAAGCGTTGTCTCCACTCCATATTACACATAGCCCGACCCAGCCTTGCCCCTTTAGCCGAGGATGAACCCGTTCCTCGTGTCCAAGTTAAACGTGGCCTGCAGAATCCAAGATCTATGAGCTCTTCGCTATTGATCCAGTCCACAAACTTTGCACTCCTCGGCGTCGAATAAGCATTATATATCAAGGTCTCCGCTTGGCAAGTGACGGCATTAAAGTCCTCTGCGACAAACCACGGTCCGGGAATCACCCTCTTGTTCGCTTGGAACTCGTCCCATAAACGCCTCCTGAGATGATGCTCCGGACTGCAATACACGATAGCGAGGTGCCATGGCTCTTCTCCCCCTTCTTGCACCTGCAAAAGCACAAACTACGGGTGAGTAAAGAGGACGTCGATTTTGAGACTATTTTTCCAAAGAATCCAAATTCCTCCGCTGAAGTCGACGGCCTCAACTCGGACACACTCCTCATAGCCAAACTTGGAGTAGATCTCGGTGGCATGCGACCCGGACGCCTTCGGTTCTACTAACCCAACCAAACAAGGCTTATGGGTTTTGATTAAGTGTTTTAGAACGCGGTGGAAATCTCTTCCACCTGCACCCTGACAATTCCAGATGAGGCTGATCATCACAAAACCTGAAAAAAAAAAAAAAAAAAAAACAACCTAACAATGGCAAGAAAAAAAACAAACACACAGTTAATCAAGAGAAACGTCGTCGGCTTTCCCATCGGTAGTTCCCCCTGGATCTCCTTCAACCTCCATTACGGCATCGCCGTCCTCATCTAAATGTTCCGGTTTATCGCTGTGATGCTCCCCCATTTTTTCCACGATTCGCGAGGGACCTGCCAAGCTTGTCTGCACTGGAACAACTCTCTCTGATCGGATATGCTAGCCTCCTTGTGATCCAAGCACTACAACGTGCTCATCCTCCTCCGCCGCCCGACTTGGTCCACTTCTTTGAGCCTTGTGTGATCCATTTTCTTTTTCCTTCCCTTTGGCCGCACTCGTGGTGGTAGCCTCCTTCTGATTCGCTATCTGCTTCTCATGCACCACCACATTTGCCCTCCGCTGCCTCCTAGTGGTAGACACAGTTTGGCTTCCTTTCTTATTCTCTGCTGTCTGGATCGCCACCCTTTCATCCCCCCTTACAACATCCGCCATGTTCCCTGCCTCACCCTCCAGGCCATCCTCATCCCGCAACCCATCCAGTGGTTGAAACCATGACTGACCTTGGCTCTTCGCTACCTCTCCCGTACGTTGATCACGTGCCCCTAGTCTTTGAGTGTAGCACCTTTCCGGCTTGGTGACAACCATCCACGAACCGTAGGGTTTCGACGCCATCGCCTCCTCCACAGGGTTCTGCTTCGCTGCTGTTTTCACCAGCACTTCTTGGCTTACCTCAGTCTCAGATGGAGCATTGGTTACAATCGCTGGGCAAAAATCCTGGCTATGTCCATACGTCCCACAATTAAAACATACCAAGTGCAAGCCTTCATATGCAATGGAGCGACGTCTTCCTTTAAGCGTGAATCTGGACAGTAGAGGCTTGGTGATGTCAACCTTCACACAGATACGTGCGAACCTACCCCTGGATGCATGGCTTGTCGCGTGATCTACCCGCACTGGTTGTCCGATCTTATCGCCAACTTTCTTGAGGAAAATGCCGTTGTAGTACTCGATCGGGAGACAGGGGAACTGAACCTACACCAAGACTTTCTCAGTCTTATCCGCCATGGGATCGAAGTTTGGCCTCCATTCCTTAACGATCAGATAGTGATCGAGGATCATCCATTGCCCTTCGAATTTGGCGTAGTCGAGGTCATCTCTGGATCCAAACTTGACGAGGAAGTAGTCGTTGTCGATCGCCACCATTTCAAAGCTTCCTTTCGGCCTCCATAATGCGCAGAGCTTCCTCATCAGGAACGAATATCCTACGCGTTTGCCCCACACCTTTATGATTAGTGCTTGTCCACACGGTTCTCTAATCGCCGCCTTTTCCTCTTTGGTTAGCCTGATGATCGGACACAGAGGGTCATCTTCCTCCCTCTGCGAATCCTCATCCGAGGAGTCACCGTCGTCCTGATCACCTAGCGTCGGGTTAACGAACGCGATCGTCTTTCCCGCAACGGCATCTCTAAATGACAGCGATGGCGGTTCGCGCTTCTCCTGTTTCGGCATGGCCTCACCTTCCACCATCGCATCTAGTGGCGTCCCAGGAACCACCTCTGTTCTGCAATCGCCACCGCCTGCCCAGCATCATATTTCGACTTTTTGGTGCTCCGTTCGAATTTGGGTAATGACATGTTATTCACTTAGATTCGAACTACTTGTCTACTTTCATTCGGTTTAGACAAGGACGACTTCATCTTCGTTTGAGCAATGACAAAGATGAATTCCATTCTCAACTATGATGGAAGTCAATTTTTAATTAATTTTTAAATAACAAAATTAAAATAATAATAATAATAATATTATTATTATTATTATTGTTATTATTATTATATTAGTTTAATGACTTAATTATTTGACTTTTTTTTACAAAGGAACTGAATTGTGTAAATAATATTCATGAATAATACAAGTTAAAAATATAGGATAAGAAAAGATATCATTAAAAATAGATTAGTTTTCAAAAAAAAAAAAAAAAAAAAAAAAAGAAGATTAAATAATACAATAAATCAAATCTGTATTCCTTCCCCTATTTCAAACCCTTAATACTTCCAACAGTTCCAAGTTCATTGATAGTCTTACCTACAAGTTTAGGACAACCCTAAACCTAATTGTTACAGTGCAGTAGGTTTAGCAAAAGATTGGTATGCCCTTCAAATTTGATAAATATTGAGAAAATGACACTTTTCTCCCTAAATTATATGCTTATAGTACTTTTTCTATTTTAATTATTCATATATTTACACTAGCCCTTTAATTATTTTAAAAGTTGTGATTTTTTTATTGATATGTTAAATGAACATTTTTAGCCTTAAAATAAATATTTTATTTTTTTCTCCAACAAATTATTGTTTATATGTAAGGATGATTACGGTTCGATTCAAACTGAATCCGGACACTGTAGCAACCGAACTAATAGGTTCCGGTTATGATTCAAAACCAAAACTCAATATCAAGATTTCAGTTTATTAAAATCGAGAATCGGAATTGCTGGTTTCGGCTCTGAACCGGAAAAAAATATTAATTGTTAAATTTATAGTACGTATTTTACAAATAAAAGATTGAATTAAAAAAAATAGTTTGAACCAATGATTCAAACTGGATCCGGAACTGTGAACCGACGGTTTAAAATCGAGACCGAATAGCGATCATATCTACTTATATGTGAGAATTAGAATAAATGCAAAAAAGAACATGCCATATTTACAAATATTATAATTATAATTTTAAACTAATGTTAGTAGTTGTTCTGATTTCGAACCGCCAGTTTATAGTTTTGGATCCAGTTTGAACTGCTTGTTCAATTTTTTAAAAAATTGTATTTTCTATTTTTAAATAGTCTAAATTTTACAATTAATTTAATTTATTTTTTCCATCTTGCAATTTTAATAAATTGAAACCCAAATATTGGATATTCTAGTTCTAAATCGTAATTGGAACATTTCGGTTCGGTTGTTATAGTGTTCGGTTCAAATTCGAATCGAATCGTGATCATTTGTACATATAAGCAATAATTTGTTAGAGAATGAAAAAAAAATATTTTTTAAGGGTAAAAATGTCTATTTAACATATTGGGAGGAAAAATCGTCACTTTTAGAATGATTGCGGGGTTAATGTGAATATATGAATAATTCACGAATGAAAAGTGCTATAAGCATATAATTCATGGATAAAAAAGTGTCATTTTCTCTAAATTAGTTTTTTTTTTTTTAATTTGATAAAGATTTAATGACCGATTTGGTCCTCGACTATCGTCCTTATCAAATTAAGTTCTCAACTTTGAAAATTTTACCCAATTTTGTTTTTCCGTCAATTTGAGTCGTAGGATGATAATGGACGACGAAATTAAATAACACTTTCAAAGTTGATGTTTTAATTTAGTAAAGATGATAATTAAAAATCAAATCGGTAATTTTGTTATAATCAAGGGACTAAATAGGTAATTAATTCTTTGATAAATTATTGTAGTGAGATTTTGTTAGGCGAACGACAATCGAACGGTTCTATTATGACACGTCACTTTAGCTATTGTCGGTTAGCCATTAATTGTGTTAGTGGAGGTTTGGGTTCAGTGCTTATGCTACGGTGGAGAAGAAGAAATAAATGTTTTTTTAAAAAGAAGGAAAAGAAAGAAGAAAGAAACTAATTCATTAGATTATAATTTAAAATGTTTACAATAAAGTTCGATAGAATTGTAAGTCATTTTATGACATAGAAATAACTTTTCTAGCAATGGTACAAGAATAGTAAATGTTTACAATGCATGGTAAGTGTTAGGCGTCGACCTGCCGCCTAACGTATCACCATAATCGGTGGCATAGGCCGGCGACCAGCCGGCTAAGTGGCTGACTAGGCTGCCTAAGCGTCGTCTAGGCCGTCTAGGCACTGACCGTCTAGGTCTCCTAGGTACCGACTAAGCCGCTTAGTTGACTAATTAGCTATTGTTTTTTTTTAATGGCTGATTAGACAAGACTGACTCCGAATGAATATACACCACCTGAGCATCCTTTTCTATTTTTTTGTCCATTGACAATATCCCCTTAGAAATATTTGTGAGAAATTTGTCCATTAACAAATGGGTTTGTTAAATCCTTTTTTTGTCTTGGTGACGATCTCACCTGACAAATTATTATGTGGATTATATAAAAATATATTTTTAATGTATTAAAAGTACATTATTTGTATATTTAATGTACATTATATAAAATAATATACTTTTAAAACTCAAAGAATGTACTTTTCTTGAATATAAGTTACATAAAAATACTAAAAGTACATTATTTGTGTACGAAATGTACATTATTTGATAATATACAAAATAATGTATTTTTAGTATTCAAATAATGTACTTTATGTACAAAAATAATACACTTTTTATTTATAGTCCATCCAATAATGCTCCATCTCACCTCTCAAATAACCCATGATTGTTTTTTTTTTTTTTTTTTTTTTTGGGTTAAGATCAAAATCTTGAATTGCTGAACTGAAGAAGAGAAAGAAAATATGGGTCAGATCTAACTGTTCGGTTAGTCGTTTGAATTGTTATTCTAGATTATAGACATGTTGTGAGATTGTGCTATTATTTTGTTAAAAATTGATCAGTTAAAATTGTAACGAGTCAGAAAGAAAGTTGTTGTTGTTTTTTTTTTTTTTTTTTTTTTTTTTTTTTTTTTTTTTTTTTTAAAGAAACCTGAAACTTTATTAGAATAGGTCCAATAATTAAAAAAAAAAATAAAGAATTGGTCCAATTTTATATTTATCCTTTCAATTTACTAATTAATTTCTTTTACCATTTATATAAAAGTCCAAATTAGCATATCGTCATGCTCAATGATTGCTAGGGTTTCAAAAAGTGTACCCAATATATAACTCTTTGATTAGGTTATCGAAGGGTTAACACAAATACACAATATATAGAGACTTGATGCATCAATGCTAATATAACATGAAAAGCTAGATCTCACAAATGGATCAAGGGTGACAATAAGTGAAAGTGAAACACACATTATTTTTAAGTAGAAATTTGAAAGGGAAAAATTATTTCTTATTGAGCGATATTAATTAAGTTACATTATTTGTTGTAGGCACATGTACAAGCTTTGAGACAATAATGTATCACACTATTAAAGGAGAATGGTTTTGGAGATGGAACTCTGTGTACTACTATGAGAATTCTTGAAGTTGAGAAGATAGTGGATAATGAAGTGATATATATGGTATTAATAGGAGTGGAATCCCTTGTACATTAATGTTGCAGATAATTCTTTGAAAATTTGGCAACTTAATTGAACAAAATTAATTGTTGAAAATAATTAAGCATAACCCCGGCCCTCCTAGAGGCATTATGCAGTTATATTATTGTGGATGGTAGGAGTGTATGACAATATCTAATATTTTGGGTAGTCTTTTTGGTCCTATTAATATCATGATAACCAATTATTTCGTGATATCATAATATGCAAAAACTGTCCTCAAATAGTTTAGTGATATGATCGAAAGGTTCAATGTGGACGTAGTGCTTCAACAAATACTTAAGTTCGAATTCTCAATGGAAAGATATCAATCTTATGACAAGAAACAAACATTCAAATTAAACTATATATATATATATATATATATATATATATATATATATATATATACATATATATATATATATATATATATATATATATATATATATATATATATATATATATATATCACTAAAACAAATCGATTTAACTGTATTTCTTTCACAATCTCCATGATGAGAAGATGAGGAACCCTCAGACTTAGGGTTTAAACCTAATATGCAAAATAAAAAAAAAATAAAAAAAAAAAAACTTTTTTATACCAAACCATCCAGTACAACTGACATTGATCAACCATGTGCATGCACATACCATTAACTAAGACTACAAATTAAACTCTACTAATATAATTATGCGCACATGAATTATAAATATAGCTTTTTGCATAATATACTCTTTTAGATCTCTTTTATTCTGTCTTTTTTTTCTCCTTTAAATATCAAGATTACCACTTCTATTGGCGTTCATCATTGCACAATCAATTCATCGAGTAAGAGCTGTCCAACTAATCTAAAATAAGTTAATAAATTTTATTCAATTGATCAATTAACTTAAAATAAGTTAAGAAATTTTGGTTTGCTTTACTAGCAGTCAGCTAAGACCATTTCGAGATTTGCCCCATCCATCAAGTATCCAAGGCACAAGCAATGAAAAGCGCTCACGTATAGAGTTCAAACTTATCATTATATTGCACAATTAAAAAATTAAAAGTACAATAAACTTGTCCACAAATGATGATATTAAATCCCTTGTCCCGAACCCCCTTACTTGGCCGACAGAATTTGTGGAGGTTGTAAATCACAATGATTTAACAGTTCATTAAGTGAGAGGATTTGTGTTTGGTGCCCACAATGATCCCATCACATTAAGTGTAATTCCATACTACCACAACCAGAAACTTATCCTGCATTTTTTTTTTCTTTTTTTTTTTTACAATATGCTATCTAAGAACTAATTTTGCTACCTTAGTAATGGATGCCAGCTTTAATTCATTTGTTTGATATTAAATCTTAATAATACATTGACCAACTGGGTAGAGTAGGCTCATTAAATTCAGATTCCAGAATGCTAAGTCGGTGCTAGTGGAGAAAGTCCAAAGTATTCTATCATCTGACCTGGCTTCACATCCATTCACAGACCTACACCAATCATTTTTTTTTTTAAAATAATATTTATTCAATTATACTCTCATTTTATCTTTTACTCCCCAACTTATTGGCTGATTGATAATTTCAAGAATGATTCTTTTTTTTTTTTTTCCTATTCGACGTATTAATACAAGTTATGTGACGAGAATATTTAGTCTAAAAAATACAAATGATATTTTTTTTTTAATAATTCTATTGTATAAAATTTTTAATTTTGAAGTGTTATATATGCTTAATTAATATGAGGCACTTCTGTGTTCAGAGTAGTAGGTAGAACAATATTAAAATTTTAAATATGCTTGCATGTGAGAAGGATAAGAGTGATAGAAATTGAAATCACATTTACTATATTGTCTAAAAAAGTGCTCCGTATAGTATAATTTATTAATAAGTGGAGCCAATGATAAAATTACTCTTTAAAATAAAATTACTTTTTAGCATTGACTACTATCGAGTCAAAATATATTTTAATTATATTTGGTTAAATATATATATATATATATATATATATATATATATATATATATATATATATATATATATATCTGACTAATGCAGCAAATCATCTTGCTAATATTGCATGTAGAGTAGTGCCCGCACAGACTTAACGTAATGGTTCAGTAGACAATATTTGGAAGAACATACCAAGGTTCGAACCTCGATCTGTAGCCGCAGTGTGGTTGTGCGGGAATTATGTCTAAAGTGGACAATAAAGTTACAAATTCGATTCTTAGTAAGAACAATCTATTGACTTTCGTAAGACAAAATTGTGGTCATTTACCAGTTAGAGTCTCAAGATGACTGTGTGTTCTTTCGTTGAAAAAAAAAAAAAGACTAATGACCATAGTCACCTATTTTTTTAATCTAAATTTATTTATTTAATTTACTTCCGAAGCTTCTAAAATATTACTGAGACAAGGATGGGTTTATTGACAAGAGTCAAAGACAGGCCACATGGGACATGGTTCATAAGTTCATTTGGTCCTACATGAAACATGATGATTGATGCTGAAAACACTAATTTAGTCTGTGGTTCTATATATATATATATATATATATATATATATATATATATATATATATATATATATATTTTGTTGGGTAATAAGGTGGAAAATCCCAAAATAATAATAATCCTACGGAAAGATTAATATTATATGGGAAAAACATAAAAACTAGGAAGGAAAGGTTTAGCACACCTCTCTTTATATAGGGATGTTGGAGTGTTAGCATTCAAGATGGCCAATTTGCACACCCCGCGCGAAAGAGCCTCTATGCTATACAATTCTACTAGCTTTAAAAGAGCTCATGTATATAAGGGGGGCAAATCTTGTTTCGAAACCAATGTGGGACAAAGTCCACTATTTTCCCTTCATTTCCCAATTCAAATGGGTCTACTTTGAGAATCAATATCTCATTCACCCATTATCCGTTTTGAGCGTACAATATATCAATCTCTTCGTCTTACTACGAAGAATCCGAATCCACTTTGACCCGACCCAAATCAGAAGTGGACCCCACTGATAATTGTACCACAAAATAGCCACTTAATATGCCATTTTATGTCATTTTAAGCTAATTTTCCCAACAATATATATATATATATATGTTTGTGTGTGTGTAACATGCAACACTAATGTTGGATGCACATAAAGATTTATAAAAAATAAATAAATAAAAAATCTAATAAGATGTAAATCCACATCAATATATCTTACATTGAGTATAATATAAAAATAAATAGGTAATGCAATATAATATTCACACAATACACAACACAAATCCTACACTTTATTTTTTCACTTATATTTTGTAATTGTTGCAAGAAAAATTGATTTTTTCACTTATATTTTGTAATTGTTGCAAGAAAAATTGATACCGATCAACACTGTAAACTTTCTCAATGTATTATACATGTTTCCAAAAGGCTGAACCCCAACCCGACAGAACATCTGCGCATAAAGAACCCCGCTCACTTTGAGAGGTGGCTCCCACACTGCCGCTGTTGAGACTCAATCCCTGGTTATTCTTCTAAAGCTTCACCTTTGTGACCAGTTGAGCTGCCCATACGAGTAAAAATAATTTTATGCTATATATACTAGTATGGTTTGCTTTAATTCCAGCCCGCATGGGCAGCTCAGTTGGTCATAAGGGTGAAATTTTAGAACAATGATTCGTGACCTCTCAAAGTGAGGGGCCTCATTGTGCACGCAAAATGTGTAAAGGTCTAGTCTAGATACTCTGACGTAGGGGGCCCTTAGAGTTGAGGATTCAATCTTTTGGAAATAATGGTTTGCTTTGATTCCTTTAGATAGAGTTTACAAATTCATTATTAGTAGGAAATGAATATAAATCATTGTAAAGTTACGCCGCGTAAATTTGTGTATAAAATTAAATTTTGTATGCAAATAACACTTTTTATGCTAATGCTAGATTAATTTTTAACTTAATTTTTCGTCTAAACATACAACATTCTACGTGATTGATAAATTATTTTTTTGGGGAGAGGGGGGTTACCCAGCTAACGTTAGCGGACACTACAGTCCCAGTGTTCGCGCATAGAATGTCGGGAACTTCCGTCGGAGGGTGGTGGAAATCTATCCAGTCGCAGAGCCGTCGAGGAGCTTCTCCGGTTAGTCAGTCCGTCGCAGCTTTTTCTTCCCGGGGGATGTGTTCCACGATAGTTGACCAATCTTTCTTTAGCCAATTCCTGCACCAATTGATTAAAGTGCCGCAGTCCCCAAGAATAGCATGTATATAGCTATGGTATAAAAATGAATTTGGTAAAGGATTTTAAATATTTACTTTATTCATATCTCTCTATTTGTTGACTAAATTGAGATTTGTATAATAGTTTTGATATAGTGGTTCCTCATTTCATAAACGTTTCTTTTGTGAAACTCACTCATCTTGTTTGATTAATCTTATTAGTGTTGAGTTGGAACGCAAAAGACAACAAAAAGCACTCACTTATGAGTTTTCAAGTAAGTGCATTCTCAATGCTTCCAGAGATGTCTAAGTAATTACATTCTTAAGACTCAAATTTGAAATTTCTAGTTAAGTCGAAAGACACATGCCTCATCTCATTTTTATCTCATGAGTAACAATTGAACTACTTTAACCAACTTGATTGGTGCGAGTGGCCATACACTTGTCCCTTAAGAGGGATCGAAAGAAAAAAACTAAAAAAATTAATCTGCCACCTCTTTACCTTTAATTGGGCAGTACTTTATTAGGATACTAATAAAAATCTCTCATGGCCACCTCTTTACCTTCCCACTTTATTAGGAAACCTAATAAAAACCTCTCCATAAACTTTGTCAAAAGATAAAAAGACATTTCATTGGCAATTTAAGAGTTTTTTTTTACACTTTTGGTCCCACAATTATGGTGTCACTAACAACTTTGATCCATGACTTTTAAAACTTGTAGAATTGATTCAGGACTATGATTTTCTTAGTAAATTTGGTCCTTCTGGTACATTTTTCGTTCATTTTTTGCCAGAAAATTTTACTCCCCATTTTAACATGAGTAATATTGTCTTTTCCATCTCACAAACTAATGACATAAATAAATAAATAATTATACACAGTCAGTGGTACGGTGATTGAAATTTTAGGCTTAGACTTTGGTAGTTTAAAATTGTAGTATTGTAAAATTTTAGGCTAAAAATTATTGAGAAATTGCAGGCTTAGCTAAAAAAAATTGCCGTTTAGTAAGGAGGGTGAAATTGAAAGTGGAATTGGAATTGGGTGACTTTTAATTTCAATTTATGTCCTTAGTTTGTGAGATGAAAAAGAAAATATTACCCATGTTAAAATGATGAGTAACATTTTTCGGCAAAAATTGAACGGAAAATGCACCGGAAGGGCCAAATTTGTTAAAAAAAAGTCAATTTTACAAGTTTTAAAAGTCATGAATCAAAGTTGTTACTGACATTATAGTCGTGAGACCAAAAGTGCAAAAAAACTCGGCAATTTAACTTAGATTTATAAATTTAGATTTAGAAATTTTGGTTTCAAAAAAAAAAAAAAAAAAAAAAAAAAAACTTAGATTTAAAAAATGATGTTTCTACAGCACTTCTGATAATTGCGTTGTGTACTTATTAGTTATTACTGCAATCAGTAACTGAACTCTTCTTCATCCATCTTTCGTGACAAATAAATGCCAATCGTGGTAAGTATGCAATAATGAACCCCCCAATTAGCATGGTAGCAGCCACAAAATTTCTTTAAAATCTCTCTCAAAGTTCCAATCTTGCAAACAATATTTTCCTCTTCTCCATTCTCCAGGTTACTTCGGAATCTTAAACCCCATTTCCCATTTTCTTCTCTTCTTTCATTTCCATTTCCTAAAGTAATTACCACAGATTCTTCGCTCTTGGAAACCTTTCTTCTTGATTCTTTACAAGTTATCTTTTTATCTTGCATTTAGTAGTTCGATTACTTAGCAAATTCTTGGATGTGCTGCTAGGTTCAAACCCAAAAACCCACCGACAAAGATTCCTGTTTTTATGAAAAAGTAAAAGGTAAAATCTTTAGTAAAACCCACACTCTTCTCCGGGAAGTGTCTGAATCTTTTGTTCCGGATCAAAGATGGGTCGGTTTTTCCGATCGATTTTACCCTGCTGCGCGGCTGTGTTGCTACTGGCGGCCTGCTCGGCGGTGGGCGAGTGGGAAACGTGCTCCGGGATAGTTCCGATGAGGGAGCGGAGCAATAGGATATCGATAGCCGACTTCGGCGGCGTCGGAGACGGCCAGACGTTGAATACGAAGGCGTTTATGGAAGCAATTTATCAAATTCAGCATTTGAATAGAAGCGGCGGCACTCTTCTTTACATTCCGGCCGGCGTTTATCTCACCGGACCTTTCAATCTTACAAGCCACATGACTTTGTACTTGGACAAAGATGCTGTCATCAAAGCTACTCAGGTACTCAAAATCTCTCCTCATTTTTATGTAGCAATGCAATTCTTTGCCCACAAAATGTGAAATCCCTTGCTTTAGGTCCTTAAACCCGGACCCCGACCAGATTTGTAGAGGTGATAAATTACGATAATTCAACAACCCATTAAATGAGAAGATCCTTTTCCAAGGAGCCCACCATGTTGGACATCTACCCATTAGATGGACCAATGAGCCCACCACAATGTGGTGTAACTACCACACTCCGGTTGTCAGGGCTCGATCAATCTTGTGTCTTGCCCCATAATTTGACACTCAAGAATAGACTGAGCTACCCGTGAGCAGCAATGCAATTTTTGATTGTGTTGTTGTGGATGTAGTAAATCACGGTTTCAAGGACACGTTAGATGAGGATTAGTTCCCACGAAGCCCACCACATTGGGCACCGGCCCATTAGATGGGAGGACCAGTTTGCAATGAGTCCATCACAATGTGGTGCAACTACCACCATTGAGCCCACCACAATGTGGCGTAACTACCACACTTCGGTTGTTAGGGCTCGATCTTGTGTCTTGCCCCATAATTTGACACTCAAGAACAGACTGAGCTACCCGTGAGCAGCAATGCAATTCTTTATTGTGCTGTTGTGGATGTGGTAAATCACGGTGACTCAAGGAACCGTTAGATGAGAGGATCAGTTCCCACAAAGCCCACCACATTGGGAACCAGCCCATTAGATTGGAGGACCAGTTCGCAATGAGCCTATGTTGTGGACTCGTGTCCACTATGCATTGTGGACACGAGTCCAAAACGACTGCATTCCAATTTTTTTTTTTAAAAAATTTGATTTTGTCTCGCCGTTAAGGCGTTAACGGCACTATTCGTTTGTGGAATTATGAATGTACAGTTATGAAATTGTGAATGTACAGTTATGGAATTATGATTATGAATGTACAGTTATGGAATTATGAACACAGAGCTCTGGCATTATGAACTTACAATTATGAACATATAGTGATAAAATTATGAACATAGAGCTCTAAAATTGTGAATATAGAGCTTCGAAAATTATGAATTTACAGTTATTGAATTATGAATGTACAGTTATAGAATTATGAATGTGCAATTATGAAATTATGAATGTACAATTATGGAATAATGAACAAAATTATGAATTTACAGTTATTGAATTATGAATGTACAGTTACAGAATTATGAATGTGCAATTATGAAATTATGAATGTACAATTATGGAATAATGAACACATAGCTCTAACATTATGAAATTACAATTATAACATATAGTGATAAAATTATGAACATATGCTCCTATAACGAAGCGGTCTGAAATTAAAAAAAAAAAAAAAATGGTGGAAGATAACGGTGCCACTTACGGCACCGTTCCATGTCCACAATGTATGCTGGACACGGGTCCATAGCATAACGATTGCAATGTGGTGCAACTACTACATTCCGACTGCCAAGCTTGATCCTATGTCTTGCCCTACAATTTGACACCCAGGAGCCAACTGAGCTACTCGTGGGCTGCAATGCAATTCTTTATTGTGCTGTGGTTTATACAAAGAATGAGTTTTGTATCATCATCATTTTTGCATAGTCCCAGGTTTAATTCCCTTCAAATAATGCATTATAAGATACCTGAAGTTTAAATGGCTTGCGTATGCAGGATACAACAAACTGGCCTTTAATTCCTCCATTGCCATCATATGGAAGGGGAAGAGAGCTGCCTGGTGAAAGATACGTGAGCTTTATTCATGGAGATGGGCTTCGAGATGTTATCATCACTGGTGAGTATGGATAATGGAATTCTTGTAATCATTGGTTTAGAGCAGTAATTATGTTACTTTTGGATGGCGAGGGAAACCCACAGTCACTACCCGAAAGTGCACTAGGTAAACCTCTCCTTATGACCCTAGCCAGTAAAGGACCACAAGGAGGTAAACCAGTCTATGTTTCCCATAGCTGACCTGCTCAAATCAAGAAGGTCAATAGGCCGCTTCTACCAGGGGTCGAACTTGAAACCTTGTGGTTTCCAAGCCAATAACCTAACCAACTTGGCTGGAGTTGTCCCAATTATGGTACTTTTTTTACCTCAATTGTAGACAAGATTTTACCTTTGAGCTTTCCATTTAAACAAAAGTATATGCAGAGTGATAATGGGTAACTTGTGTGTATGCTCTGATCTGTTTTCTCGGGGAAAAAAATGCACGAGTTGTGACAATTATTAGACAAATTTTTCTATTACATGCAAATATAACAACGTTTTCAGGTGAGAATGGGACAATTGATGGTCAAGGTGATGTGTGGTGGAACATGTGGAGGCAAAGAACTCTTCAATTCACAAGACCGAATCTGATAGAACTCATGAACTCTCGAGGCATAATCATCTCTAATGTCATTTTCAAGAATTCCCCCTTCTGGAATATCCACCCCGTTTATTGCAGGTAACAATTTTTGTTCGTGCCACATTTTATATGAAACCTATAGTTTGACTCCTGATGGTAATTACTATGATAATTGTTATGTTTTTGGTATAAGTTTATAGTGACAATTATCGATTTTCGTTTGCCAGCAATGTTGTTGTTCGATATGTCACCATACTGGCTCCTACTGATTCTCCGAACACTGATGGAATTGATCCTGGTACGCCCACAATTACCTAAACAAAACGATGTCACTTGTTTGTAAACCTAGGACAGTTTGTGCTGTTCATTCTGTTACATTTTCCACTTATCCATTGTCCTAACAACATTGTCGTAAACTACAGATTCAAGCTCTCATGTCTGCATTGAGGACTCGTATATTTCCACGGGGGACGACCTAGTGGCTGTGAAGAGCGGGTGGGATGAGTATGGCATTGCCTATGGGCGCCCGAGCCACGGCATTACCATACGCAGGGTGACTGGATCTTCCCCGTTTGCTGGAATTGCTGTTGGAAGTGAAACCTCCGGGGGTGTAACCGATGTTCTGGCTGAGCATATAACCCTTTCCAACATGGGCGTTGGCATCCACATAAAAACTAACGTGGGGCGTGGAGGGATCATAAGAAACATTACCTTCTCCAATGTGTACATGGAAAAGACACGAACGGGGATAAGGATTGCGGGTGATGTTGGCGGGCATCCCGACGAGCAATTCAACCCGAACGCTATTCCCATCGTCCAAGACATCAAAATCAAGGATGTATGGGGCGAACAGGTTCTGCAGCCCGGTTGGATACGGGGTATACCAAAATCCCCTTTCACTAACATCTGCCTTTCCAACATCCACCTTAATGGTGCTAAATCACTCCGAAATCCTCCATGGAAGTGCTCGGATGCTAGCGGGGCTGCAGTTCAGGTTAGCCCCTCGCCCTGCTCTGAACTAACCCGAGATCAATCTGGTGCGTGCTCTTCGCCACCATTCTAAGTTAGCCATCATGTATTCTTTCCATTTTTTTTCGTTAATCCACCGTTCATAATAAACTCTTTTGTGACACCCTTTCCTTTGTTAACAAAGGCATCAGGGGAAATGTAATTGTAACATGAGTTTTTTTAGAGTACATTCTTGGTCTATATAAGTGTACTTGTTCTAGGTTTGGATATGAATTATTTTGCAACATTGCAAACTTTCAAGTGAAAACTCTTCTTTGGTTATGTATACATGCACCATATCTATTTTTCCACACTGAAATAGGTTTATAGGTTAGGGTTGAAAATTTTGAAAATATATAGCTGTCATATTTTTACAATCATTATTCTATGGATCAAGTCTACACAATTATATTGTATGGATATTAAAGTTACATTGTTTGTGTACTGAAGATATATTAATTGAGTACTGAATGTACATTATTTTGTATAGTACAGTATCAAATAATGTACATTCAATACATAAATAATGTACTTTTAGTATATTAAAAATGTACATTTTATTCATGGTCCACAACAAAATTTGTCATATTTTTTATACACATGTTTGATTTTTCATAAGTATTATACTTCCTCTAATAAGTATTATAATTTTAATTTTTCTTATAAGTGAGTGTTCAGCTCATAATATTATATTTTGATTTAAAAGTATTATATATATATTTTTAATAAAAAATAACACATTTTGTTCTCATAAGTATTACACTTTCTCTCCTAAGTAATAATCTATCAATTTATCAATTATTAGTATTACATTTTTTTTTATAAAAAATAATTGTTCAACCCTAAATATTACATTTTCATTTAGAAAGTATTACATGTTCCTTTATAAGTAATAAACAATTTATTCTTGATTAGTATTGTATTTTTCCGTATAAGTATTGCATTTCCATGTTGATCCCACATGTTTTACAAGACTACAAGAGACTCACCCATAAATAAAATATCTTTAAAATTTCATAAGGAAATAACATTTTTATTTTTTTTAGTTATATTATAAAATATCTTTAAAATTTCAGAAAGAAATAACATTTTTCTTTTTTTTAGTTATATTAGTTTTAAGGAAAAATCTCCTATGAGATTATCTCACGGATAGTTATGCTGTGCATCCGTATGCACCATGGTGCATACGGATGCAAAAACGACGTCGTTTTATTAAAAACGCGCATCCCACAAAAAAAAAAATCAGGTTCGATTCCCCTCAACAGCATTATGTTGTTTATTCATTCTGGAATTTTAGTTCAAAGATTCTAGAATTTTAGTTCATTGATTCTGGAATTGTAGTTCATCGATTTTGGAATTTTAGTTTATCGATTCTGAAATTTTAGTTCATAGATTCTGGAATTTTAGTTCATTCATTCTGGAATTTTTAGTTCATAGATTAGATTCTGAAATTTTAGTTCATTGGTTATGGAATTGTAGTTCATCGATTCTGGAATTTTAGTTCATCGATTTTGGAATTTTAGTTCATATGTTGTTGCTGGGAATCGAAACTGATTTTTTTTTTTTTAAAGTGAGACACGCGTTTTTAATAAAACGACGTCGTTTTTGGGTGCATATGGATGCACAACATAATTTGCCTTATCTCACGAATTCTCATTCATCACACAAGTTAAGTTTTTTTATTTTATTTTTTTATATAAATATTATACTTTCTATCATAATTATTACAATTTTTTTTTCTAAGTAAATTTTCAACTCTTAATATTATATTATGATTTAAGATCATGACATTTTAATAATAAAAAAGTATACATTTTTTTAATAAGTATTACACTTTCTCATAAGTATTATTCTAATGACCCGTTTGGTTCACGAAATAGGTCGGGAATGGCATAGCATTCCCAGTAATAGGCATATTCCTTTGTTTGGTAACCATTTCTATTACCAGGAATAATATTCCTGGTAATAGTCTATTACCTCAAATAAGATAATAGCTATTACTACCCCCCCCCCCCCTCCCCCCCGGTATTAGCCTATTACTGAACGCTCAGGAATAGATTTTAGAATCTATTTTCTTTTTTACCCCTTTCTTTAACCTAATTTTTTTTATCCTATATATAAATTTATCCTATTTCACCACCGTTGTCGCCACCACCACCATCACCGCCGCCGCCGCCACCACCACCACCATCGCCGCCGCCGCCGCCACCACCACTACCACCACGCCGCCGCCGCCACCACCACCACCACCACCACCACAACCGTCGCCGCCCCCACCACCGCCACCATCACCACCACCACCACCACCATCGCCGCCACCACCACCGCCACCATCACATATTTTATAAGGGTATTTATGTCTTTTAAAACATATTTCATTTCTATTCCTTAAATCAACCAAACACTGTAATATAACTCCTAAAGTCTATTCCTTCCGCGAACCAAACAATAGAATACAATTCCTATTCTATTCCTTGCCTATTCCATTCCTTATGGAATAGCATTCCTATTACCTCAAAATTCATTTCGTGAACCAAACGTGCTGTAAAGCTCGCTCGAAAGAAATGTAGAGGATGAGTTATGAAATATGTCTCGGGAACCTAAAACCAATCGAAGTGTTTACTTAAAAAGTCCAATCAAGACAATCATAAGCTTTGTGAAGGTTCAACCTTGACGATTATCAACCCCTTTTTGCCACGTTTGCGGTTCATGTTGTGCTACCTACATGTGTGCAAATCCTATTTTCTATGCACATACAAAACATGTGGAAATTGATTATCATTTTGTTCATGATAGAGTGGCTGCTGGTGATATTCAAATTAATTTTATTTCTACCAAAGACCCGTTTGTAGATATTTTTACTAAAGATTTTCTCGTACCTTATTTTTTTTTTTCTTAGAGACAAGCTACATGTTATTAGAATACCATGTGTTTAGGAGGAGTATTAGGACTCTATGTATCCTAATTATATTGTGATTCTTATCCTGTATCTATTTGCTGTATTCTGTGACTCTTCTAATTAATCCAGAATTACAGTTCTCATCTTTAGACTCATTGGAAGTTTGATTTTTGTACTCAGACCTTATAATTCTTGTAAATGAATTTGTTAACATGTTAAACACAATAACAACATGAATACAATAAAGTTAGGTTCTGCTTAGAATACCTCGTGGTCTAACCCAAACTGGGTTAACTTGTTAAGACACAAATTTTAACAAGTTAGCCCAAACAAATTTGTTAAAAAAATTCTCTCCCTAGACAAACTAGGGTTTAACTAGGGTTTCCCGTACTTTTTCGATCTTTTTCCGACAGATTGCCGGCGTTTCTTCCTGCGACGACGGAGGATTTCGGCTTACGCATTACCATGACGTCTAGGACAGCACCTGAGGGTGTGGAGAGGTTGACGGAAGATGGGCTGATATGGCCTTGGAGGAAGAGGGTGATGAGTTCGCCCCAGACGGTGAGGGAGTCGGTGAGATCGGCGGCGAGGGGGAGGAAGCCTGGGCAGTGGTGGGAAGGTTCCTGACGGCAAAGCTGATTAAATTGGAGTACATGAGACAGGTTATGGCATCCATATGGCAGTTGAGGGGTGTGCAAGTTACTGAGGTTCAGCCGGGCTTGTTCCTATTCGTCTTCTTCCATAAAACGGACATGGAATATGTTCTGGAGGGGGGGACCGTGGGCATTCGAGAACAACACCCTTGTTTGCAGGGAGGTTGTTGGGGGTGCGATTCCAGGAGAGGTGCCGTTGGATAGGGTTGACATGTGGGTTCAGCTGCATGATCTCTCATTGGGTTACATGTCGGAAATAGTTTTGGAGCAGGAGGAAATTTTATTGGTACTTTTGTAAAGCATGATGACAGATTTGCCGGCGCCTCGTGGTTAACTTTTTATCGTATCCGGGTCTCTATTGCGGTTGACAAACCGTTACGGAGGCGTATGAAGCTGGTAAAGAGAGACAAAACAATGTGCTAGGTAACTTTTCGGTATGAGCGATTACATAAATATTGCTTCTTTTGTGGTTTCATGGGGCATGTACACACTTTTTGCCTGAAGGCATGTGAGGGTGACTTGCCGGCCGAGCTATACCCATATGGACTCGAGATTCAAGCAAGAGGGAGTCGGGGAGCACCGAGGGCGGTAGGCGAGAACTGGTTTGTGCCGGTAGGTGGGAACCGCGACCGTTGCCGGAGGAGGTAGCTGGCGAGGTGTCGGGTGGTGTAGTTGAGAAGGGTAGCCGTGGTGGGACTCCGAGGGGCAGCGTGCAGCCGACGGACGATGCTATGGTGGCAACTGCTAAACGCTGCCGGCAAGCGTCGGGCGTTACGGGAAGGCGGGTTGGTTCAGGGAATGGAGATGTAGCTATGATCAACGTGCCAAAAAACTTGCATGCAGCGAGAACTTGTTCTCAGTCCTGCCTGTCCTCATGAGTAAGCTGAGCTGGAACTGTCGTGGCTTGGGCAATACACGAACAGTTCGAGAGGTTGTGGACCTGGCGTCCCGTAAGAAGCCCGAATTTGTGTTCTTGATGGAAACCAAGGTGGGGCGGATACATGCAGGACGAATCTGCATCAAGCCTGGTTACGAAGGACTATTTTATGTTGATAATATTGGTTTGAGTGGTTGTTTGGCTCTCTTTTGGAAAAAGAATAACACAGTTAGATTGTTGAGTTATTCTAGAAATCATGTGGACGTGGAAGTTAGTATTGCGAATGAGAAACTGTGGCGAATGACATGTTTTTATGGCTTTCCGGAACGACATAGACGGAAGGACTCTTGGGATCTACTAGGTGCTTTGAGTGGTAGATCCTCGCTACCGTGGGTGGTGGTGGGTGATTTTAATAATCTCTTATACCAACATGAGAAGAGGGGGGAAACCCAAATCCAGATAGTATTCTTTGCGGTTTTGGGGAGGCTATTGATGGCTGTGGTCTGATGCAGATGCCCATGAGAAGCCACCAGTTTACATGGGAAAGAGGCAGAGGTACAGAAAATTAGATAGAGGAGAGACTTGATAATGTGTTGGCATCGGCAGACTGGTGTAGTGCGAATGAGAATGCATGGGTGGAGAATATTCTGACTCGAACTTCAGATCACTCGGCTCTTTTCCTTAATATTGATGCAATCCACATGCAAGGGGAAGGGGTTCGAGGGGTTTCAGGTTTGAAATGACTTGGCTCCTGGATGAGGGATGTAGGGATGTGGTTGTGTCTGCCTGTCAGGATGGGAGGACTGAGGGGTTGCTGAATTGTCAGCAGTATTGTGGAGAGAAGTTGATGCGATGGGGT